GGAGAATGAGAGTCAAGTAGCCTCCGCTGGGCGGGGGTTACTTTTATGCCAGGTTGGCAGAGTCCGTAAAAATTAGGAGAATACCGTGAGACGTGTAGAAGAATGGTACCCACGATGAGATGGGGTATGTATTTTTTGAGGTCAACACGGAGTACGTTTTCCCGATTAACCTCGGCATAGGGTAGAAAAATAATACCAGAATTCTTGAGCAATAACCAAAATGTAGCGTTCTGAAGGAAAGCGGTGTTTGGTGGAGGCGTGTCGGAATTCGACTTCAAGGGGATAGAGCTAAAGCGTCCCCTGGTGGGGGAGCGAACGCTCGTGCAGTCTGTTTGCGTGCGATTGGACAAGCACACCAAGAAAACACCACGAGGTAGTGCCCAGCACGGAGAAGAGTTTGGACGTAGGGCTTGATCGATTTTTCCACCCGCCCACCCTATCGCTCAAGAGAGGGGGGGAATCAGGTTGCAAAAAGTCGAAACATAACCAACATACTCTCCATGTTTTTGTTTTTTTATATTATTGGTGTCTGTTGTTGTTGTTGTTGTTTCTCACATTAGCTCTATAGTCCGCAAAAAATGGGGAGCCCGTGGTCTCAAAACCCGGCACATACGACGCCGCGAGAAAACAAAAAACAAAAATAGGATACAAACCACTCGGAAAAAGAAAACAAAATGATCGAAAGAAAGAAAAGAACAGGTATCGCACCTACTGTTCGAGAAAAGAGCCCTCGGACACNTTCGGAGAATGAGAGTCAAGTAGCCTCCGCTGGGCGGGGGTTACTTTTATGCCAGGTTGGCAGAGGCAGATACGCCGCCAAGGGGAAACAAAACAAAAATAGGGTACAAACCACTCGGAAAAAAAAAAAAAAATAGAAAGAAAAGAACAGGTATCGCACCGACCGTTCGAGAAAAAAGCCCTCGGAAACCGATAAAAAAAAAACAAAAATAAAAATAAAGGAGGACGCTTCCCGCATTCGCCCAAGAAAAAATCAAAGGGTAACATACCAGCACCAGGCACTACGGACCAGGGCGTGGGAGTAACACAGCAAACAGGCAAAGAGGCGGCAGATGGGCAGACAGCGAGACGTACAAAAACAAAGGCAACAGCAAAAGCGAGGTCAAGGTACCCAACACAGAAGGGTAGGCAGGGAGGTCATGAAAAAAAGAAACACAGCACAGAGGCCAAAGGCAATACAAAGGACATACATTAAGGAGTATTATAGCGTACAGCAGGGAGGAAACAGGGCGCAACAACATCAGCCGGGTACATAGTTCGCCACAAGTGCTGCCTCGGCCGCCCTACTCGCTTCTACAGCAGTGCCCGTTCGCCGTTTCTTCCCCCCCACCGCCGCTTCCCCGACTCTCTTTCTCTTCGGTCCTGAGATGGCCATACTCTCTGCTTCTGCTTCCCTCGCGCGCTGGCGCTTCGCGGACGTTTCCGCCTCCTGCCTGTGCCATTTCGTCATGAACCATGCCGCCCCCGTCCTCGACCTTGTTGTACCACACCTCCGGGTCCTTGGCGCTCTCTTTCCATTTACCCCCTTTCTTTTCGTCTCCGTGTGCCTTAATTCCCAGGTGAGCGGGCCAGTACACACAGCAGTCACACCATGGTCTAAACCCAACATATTTTTACCCGAACTGCTTAACCTCACACCAGTCCCCCATTCTGAGGAATGGTACGTTTCTCTCTCAAACTATTTCTCCCCTCTGTACTTTTCCTAGTTGTTTGCATCCCACGGACAATTTCCCGCTTGAGATTTTGTGCGAAAGACTGCTGTACCTCCAAATGTTTTTGTATATGTAGCGCAGCAGCCTTCTCACACCGTGACATTGGAGAGCGGACGACGATATTCGGCATGCGTGAAAGGTGGAAGCCATGGGTCGACACGTTTCCTCCACGAACACGGGGGACACACATAGGAGCAGCGTGTAACTTCAGTTGCTTACAGGAGTGCTGCTGCCGCTCTTGTTCTCGTCGTGTTCGTTCATCTCCTCAAAAAAAAAATACGAGTCCAAATTTACAACGGCGGGGACCTGTACAGGCAACTGAAAAACACATGTGCTTTGAGATAATTTGGTCGTGTGATGAGCATGCAACTTCGCTGTGAGATACGGACCTCCGCGCCATCCTGGTTGTTGTTGGTGCTTCAGATGCTGTTGTTGTACAGTCGGTGCTGCTGCCGCCGCTGTGCTGTACGGCTCTGTCTTGCAACCTAGCGGTGCGTCTGCTGTGTATATCACATCGAGTAGGTTACGGCAAGCCAGCGTTGAGTTTAGCGGGGGTGCATTCGATTTGAGTCACCCCTGCTGCGGCTGTACGAACGAGGCTGTGTGCCCGAGACTGCTCTACTGCTGCTGGCTGCTGGCTGCTGCTGCTGTTTGCTGTTCCCTTGCTTAATGCATTTTTTTTTCTCCCATCATTGGACTCTGTCGTCTGCCCCTCTGGCCCCTATCCTCCACTTCTACTAGCTAGACGACCCAACTGGGATCACATAGGAGGGGGGGGGTTGGAACCCCTCCTGCGGTTCCTGCCTGAGGTATTTTTATCGCGAGAAGGGTACAGCAATCCCTTTCCTCGAGACATACGAAGTTGATTATGGTTTACTAACAACGAGCTTTGCAACGCGTCGCTTCCTAGACCAGGATTTAGTGAGAAAAAAACTCACTCTGCACGGACTCAAACGCATGACCTGGCCCTTAGCAGGCTGCGAGGTTACCCTCTAGACCACCGGAGCGACCGTCTGTATTTCCGATTTTTCGAAGGTCTGTTCGGACTGGTGGCCAAAAAGCCCCTGGAAGATCCACAATAGGGTCAGTCACACAAGAGTTCACTGAATTTTTCTTAGCTGCTCTGTGGGCGCTGTATTTGTACGCGAAGGGAAGGGGTGGCGAGTACCGTGAGACGCAGTATCTTCTTCCGAAGATCGTTCATTCGTTTACGCATGAAACTTAACAGAGCCGTAGAGCCAAGCCGCGGGGGAAGGTTCAGGGAACTCTTCGCGATATGCGGAAGGAAGAGCCATCAGGGTAGCAGTTGGTCTCCGCCGGGACAGTTACATAAACTGATGTTCCTCGGTGCGACGCTGAAATACGTTCGTTATTTTTTTTTGTTCCACAAGAATGAGATGAATATATATCTACTCCTCTTTCCGCTGCCGGCTACGCAGTACATGGGTTGGCCAAGTACAAACTGGTGTACTAGTAGTTGTTTTCAACACGTTCCTGACTGCTGTACATCTCATTTCAGGAACTGTAAATATGGTTGACGTCAACAAACGGTTGCCAGTTGTCTCGGCGATGCTGACTTTTCGTACCATCCCCATCCAAGACGCGTAGTTTGAGGTATAGCACGCCTCCATTGGCCCCGGGGATGATGAGCTATCGTCCCCTGAATTTTAAGGACGCAAACCCACCCGCATTAATATTTTCAAAAACAACCAGGTGCGTCTATAAAACGGGGTCGACTGCTGTAGGGGAATACGAAAAGCCCCGCAACACGTTGTTAGAGGCCAAACAGATAAAACGGGGTCGACTGTAGGGGATTACGAAAAGCCCCGCAACACGTTGTTAGAGGCCAAACAGATTGCGCCCGCACTTAAGAACCTCTCGTTTCGGCCGAGGCTGGGTTCTTACTTTGCTGATCATTCTCTTGTGGGCTACAAATAGCCGCTATATAGGTTTTAGGGTAGGGTTGTTAGCCGAGCTCACAAATAGCTTCTGATTTTTTGCGAGTCTTAGTTTCTTAACTGCTAAGTCCTTAAGTGCGGGCGCCGTCTGTAGCGGCGAACGAAGTGATCGACATGCCTCGACTGTTGTGTGGACTGCGTTGCTTCACCTGAATTCCTCGCTCTCCACGGCCTGCAACGTTCCTGGCCAGGCTTCAATCTGCAGCGTCGTCGCCCGATGTGGCTCCGCCAACCTGTCAGATTTGTTGGGTCGCCACTCGAGGATGCCGGTGCCCGTGCCGTCGCCGTATGAATTGTACACCTTTACTTTCACGCCGTCTACAACCGCTACAAAACCGGTGTCGCCAGCCGCTGCTTCGGGGTGAGCGCGCGGTCCAATGGCGCCGCCATTGCGCAGCGGCGGCAGCACGTGGAGGGAGAATATGGTGCCTGCTGCCACAGAAAGTACAAACGCAAACCGGTGCCATCTGTGACATCTATGACGCCATGTAGGGGCCGGCGGATCCAAACTTGCGTAGCGGTGAGATCTGCGGCCACACACGCCAGAATCGCAAGCCGCCCACGGCGACATGACTGGCACCAGAGCTAAACTATTCTTCACGAGTGCGTGGTATGATATGTGTTGTGGTGACGTCCATGAGGTTCCCAATTTGTTGGAAACCTCATGCCTTTATCACCAAGTTGCAGGTTGAGTTCCGTGCCCACCCGAACAGGATGTATGTGTCGTGAGCCCCACAGGAAGAGACGAAAAAAAATACTTAAAGAAAGAACGGCTATGAAATGTTTTTTCTTCTTCGAAACTAGTTCGAACATACGTTCTTCTACGCTGCTGAAGAACCCGGAACTTCGTCAGTCCCGTGCATGGCGACGTCCAGGATTGCGTGACCAGATTACGTGATCAGGCTGAGTCTTACGGCGGGATTATTTCGGAGATCTTTTTTTGCTTTCGGACGGGGCGGGGTGGCCTTCACGGAAATAATTATCAAGATCCAAACGGGTCCTTCCGGGAGGCTACCCCCAGGCTGGCGGTGCGCACGTTCCACTGCTGTTTATTTATTTTTTTGTTTATGATTCTTTTGTTTTCTTGTAATAGATATTTTTTTGCGAAAAGTATGGCCCGTTAGGGGTACGCTTTTTGTTTTGTCTTGCTAAAAAAAAATGTTTAGAGGGATCGTGTATAGAGTATGTGCGCACGAGAAAAAGAATAATTTTCATGTACAGGGGCGTGAAAATTACGCCATGGCTGTAAGTCTGTTTTTGTTGTTGTTGTCTTCACATTAAAAACCATCCCGGTCTCTCTATCCAGTACCTCCTTCTGTCTCAATCTCTCCGTACTAATCCAGCACTTGACTCGGTCAATTTCCGTGGTCACAGGCTAACGTACCTAGAAAAGGTATACCAAANAAAAGAATAATTTTCATGTACAGGGGCGTGAAAATTACGCCATGGCTGTAAGTCTGTTTTTGTTGTTGTTGTCTTCACATTAAAAACCATCCCGGTCTCTCTA